GAACAGAGTTAAATTTTAGAGTGGATTAGTTAAACCACAAACAATTCTATGTAGACATCCATTCAAAACTAAAGCTGCTTTTATTCTAGTCTGCGTTATTTTATTCTGAAAGTGAATTAATTTAAATCAAATTGCAGCCAGTTCTGTTCTGAATAAGAGCATGCAAATTGAGGTTCAATACAGTTCACAGACACTTTTAATTTACACCTTTTGTTAATTTAATTAATTGTCCTGAGTGCCTGAGCTCACACAGGAAGCATGCCAAGGTGCAAAGAGTTAAGGATGAGGCTCCCCAGCAGCCCTTCCTTGGGGTGCTGCTCAACCATCCTCCTTATCACCAGACAGTACAGCCCTGGTCCTTGATTCTGTGGGAGCCAGAGGAGGTATTCCTGCCTTTCCCTGTCACCTACCATGCAGTGACAGCTCTCAGGGAGAGCATTTCATGCATTTAATGGGAGGACCGGACAAACATGCAGCACCTATTGACTAGGGGCCAGGAGGAAGCACTCGACCCGGGAGGGTGCGTTCATTGACCTCTGTAGGCACCGAAAGCAGAGAAGTAGTGTGACACATCGCAGGGGACACGGAGTTATGTTTTCAGCGGTCAGCCTAAAAACCTGACAGTCAGCTTTGCTTACTTCACCAAGATCAGATTTGCAAAGGTGTAACTCAATGACAAACATTAAAAGAGTCCCTGAGAAAGATCTATAAATACCCACTGCATCTTCCTTCCTACTTTTTTTTCTTTTAAATCGTATTCAGTTTGAAATTGTAGTTTCTTACGGCAAGTCTGTGCGCAATTTTTATACTTCCAAAAACTGAAGTAAGATGATCTACTGGATTAATCGCACCCACCTCAGGGCAGTGCAATTCTATCAGTATCTATGCAGTTATTGTAGCACCGCAGCAACCACCTATGGATCAGCCTCTACGCTGACCCATTGGCAAGAGTCCCACAGCCCAGCTAAAAGTCAAATACTCCTCCACGATGCAAAAATGCGTGGAATGCCATGCATCCACTTCCAACCCTGTGCAGCCACTGTCTAGGCAAAGCCACGCGTTTTAAGGCCTCTCTACCTTTCTTGAGCATTACTTCCTTCAGCTTTGTAACATACGGTTCCCTCCGTTCTCTGCTCTTTCTTAAGTTTGTCAATCCTGCCTTGGTATGAACTTCGCCAGAAATCATCTTAACCTTTTAGTTACAATCACATCAGAGAAAAAAATCAAGAAGAGCTTTTCTCTCGTTTTCCAGCTTTTCTTGGCAGTTAATAGTAAGTCCATCAAGAAAAAAAAAATCCAGTGTCATCGTCCATGAACGGCGATTGTCCTCCTCTACTGTTCTCAGAGCTTCCTAATAGGAGAAAGTCACTTATAAGTAATAGAACAGTTATCCCTAAGAGGCTGCTTACGGGGTGAAGGAAATGGGATGCAAACATTTGTTTTGGAGAGAGGGGGTGAAGTATGAAAAAAACAGCTCTGAGACTAAAAGTTTGAGTGCCTTCTGTGTCCAGTAAAGAAACTTGGGACAATCTTGAGTCCCCTTTGAAAAGAGCTGCTGGGTAAAACTTCAGCTCCTTCAGGAGGCCGCGGTCATTTTTAAAACGTTCTTCAAAACTCCTAACTATGCAATCCTAAATGTCTCGCAGCCACGTAAAAGGGGCAATCCTGAATTCTCGGGAAAGTGGCAAACGCATTTTCGGGGACCGGGGCGGGGGGGGGGGGGGCAGATGAGCGTCGGGGGGGCACCGGCCCCACCGCACCCCGGCCCACCACCCACCCGGCTCTGGCCCCGTGTCACCCACGGGGGACGCGACCCACCGGCGCCTCCGCTCCCCGCAGCTACACCGGGAGCTTGCCTCTTCCCGGGG